CCCCAAAACCCCAAAACCCCAAAACCCCAAAACCCCAAAACCCCATCCATATTTTCTAAGTTGAAGTTACTTCTTAACCTTGAATGGCATGTAGGCAATCGGGTTGTTTAAAGTATGCCCAACTCTGCTGACCATTGTGGAGTAGAACTTGTAGTTGTTCATAGCAGATCCTCCCATTCTTCTGATCTTTTTGTTGTACTCCATCTTGATTTTTCTGGGGACTGGAGGTTGGGTGGTCATTCTCACGGGAGAGGCTTTGAAAGGGTTTGGGAAGTCAGTAGGGCCGATTTTGTAGACGTTTAGGGGGCTTGGTTCGTCAGCGTCCTTGAAGAACTTCTGGAATGATACCATTTGGTAAGGATTGATCCTGTGATTAGCATTCTCTGGATACTTGCTGATATCTCCATAGAATCCCATTTCCATGAACTCTTCCAAAGCATCTACAAGCTTAAATGTGTCTTTGATAGCATAGTATTGTCTCAATTTTAGATTGAATTCATCTCTCATTCTTTCCTTAATCTCATTAGAGTTTAAAATCCACTCAATTCTTTCTGGATGTCCATCAGTAAGATCGATTACCTCCATTCTTATTTTAGCGTTAGATCTCACAAGGAATCTCAGAGTTGTAAGGGAAAGGTCGAAGTATTCTTCAAAGGTAACCTCTCTATTCATATCATCAATGTAGTCTTGGAGGGATCTTTCTGGGAATTTGAGGACATAAACTTCATAATTTTCATAGTGTCTGTATCCAAGAGGATATCTTCCAGCGATTGAATTCAAATACTCCATCCCTTCAGTGTTGAGTTGTCTATAAACCTTATCTTCAATTGCTCTGGCTTTATCTCTAGGATTCTGATCTTCCTCTTCCTCTTGCTCATAATCTCCCTCTCCTTCTCCTTCAGACTCTTCCATTCGTTTCATTTCTTCAGCTACAGATTTCTTGATGACCTCATTTCTCTTATCGTTGAACATCTAATAAGTTAGCAAGTAAGGGTTACCTGGTTGGTCTCAGTGAACCCTGGAACCTTTAAGCCAGAATCTGTGACAATTTCACTTTTATTATAAGTGTTCTCTGTGTCATAAGGAGTGAACTCTTCCTGTTCGATTTCCCATGGCTCTTCCTGTCTGATGTTTAATACCTTCAGGATGTCTGAAAGGGAAACATTCTTCTTTCCTTGCTGTACCCTTTTATATCCTTCTACAAGAATTTTGGTGGCTGTTGAGATCCTGTCTACTTCTTCAGGGGTAACATAATTATGCGTTCCATCATAAACTGGAAGATCTTCTTCTTCTTCACGATCATAAGTAGGGTTAATAGTTTCAAATTCTCCTTCTGGGTCAGGAGTCAGTTCATAAGCATTGTACTTCTTTAAGAAAGAGTTTCCTCTAGAAATGTATTCTCTTTTAAAGTTATCATCTAGAAGTTATTTTTAAGAACTCACCTGTATTCTCAACCCAGATTGGGACTGAGGTTAAGCTTTCCTTAAGGACCTTCTCTTCCTATGAGATGAGATAGCACAAACTTACCACTCTTTTCTGAAGTGCTTTTAATTTAGCCATCTCTGGAAGTGTTTCCTCATTTAAAGCTTCATTGTCTCTCTGAAGGAACCTGATCTTTCTGAACAAGTGAGGATTTAGATGAAGGTATTCAACAATGGTGAGTGTAATCTCTTCATCAACCTCGTCATACTTCTCCAAGAATTCATTTTCATTTTCGAAAAATGGTCTATTTTCATCAAAATTATCTTCATCATTGAGTACTCGTGCATCATATTCCTCCTGAGTCATATTTTGTATCTCATCTGTGGGGATCATCATTTCCATCGTGTTTGAAGGGGTTCCGTATTCAGGAGATGCTTTAAGAGCATCAACATGATTTGATTCAAATGCATTCATTTCTTTATGAGATTTAGTGACCTGGTAAAGTGCTTCAGTATCTTCCGAAAACCCGCTTTTATCTTTAGTCTGCTTGTATAAATTGAGTTTCAATCTATAAATGATTTGTAAAGCTTGTACAGATATTTTAAATACTTCTTTTAAGAAGAGAGAAAAGTGGGGCAAATAGCTAAACTAAAGATATCATGAGCTTTTAGGCCTTATTTATGAATAAAATTACCTATCTTCATCTCCTATTTTATGGGACACTTCATATCTGTTTCTTTCTTCAATCTCATCTCTTAGGATTTCAATTAAGGTTTCCTTCATCTTTGCGAGCCTTCTGACCTTGTTTTGAATGGTAGTGATATCTTCAAAGTTGTAAGAATGATTCATTGGCTTTCCAGTTCTTGGGCCTTTTTGTTCTTTACCTGTGTAATCAATATGGAGTTTGTCGTTAAGATGAGGATCTTTGTCCAATATTAAGTCTTTATCAATCTTCTTAAATTCCATGAGGTTATTTAGGTAATCAGTATAGCCATCAATGTCGAGGCCTCCAAACTTGTTCATTGCCAGCTTGTTCATTTTTCTAAGGTAGTTATTAAACTTGTAGTCATTTGCATTCATAACATCGAGAGAATACTTTTTATGATTGTCAAATCTTCTCTTGAGCTCATTGAACTTGATGTTTCTTTCAATAACATTGTTCTCATCTGTATCTATGTCTGTAGTCTGCATTTTATCAATATTGTAGCTTCCTAACATATCCCGCTCGAAGCTATTCAGGGTTTTTAACTTAGCAATCTCATCCTGGATCCTCTGTTTGATTGGAGTGTCTCTATCCATCTTAAATGTCTTCAAAAGAATATTCATGGAGTGTTCAGAGTAAACTTTCTTTGGCTTTTCATAAGCATACTTTGAACCCTGTGGAGGTGGTACTTTGGGCCACAAGTCAAACTCAGTGAGCAATCTTTTGACTGGTTTTGTTGGCTGAGCTCCATTACCGAGCCAATATTTAACTTTTGGAATATTAAGAGAAATTGATCTATCATAAGTCTTTCTGTTTCTTGGTCTCCAGTATCCAATTTTCTCAATATATCTTCCTGTGAGCTTCATCTGAGGCTTTTGTACAACTACAAAGATTATTATCAAACTTATTATTATTAAATATCATCCTAAAGTCCTTTTCTTGTCAAGAGTAAATGAATCTAGGCTAAAGCTACTTACTGAACCACCAAAGAGGGTTATGCTTGCACCCTTTATTGACAAGCTTGATTTTGACAACCATTTTGCTATAAAATTATTATAACCTCAAGTAATATTTCTTAAAATGGGGTTTTGGGGTTTTGGGGTTTTGGGGTTTTGGGGTTTTGGGG